GGAGAGGGGAGGGGAAGAGGAGAGAGAAGAGAGAAGAGAGAAAAGAGAGAGACAGAGAGACACAGAGAGACACACAGACACACACAGAGACAGAGAGAGAGAGACAGAGAGAGAGAGACAGAGAGAGAGAGAGACAGAGAGAGAGAACCAGAGGTGGCCAGAAGGATCCAGTGACATCTCACCTGGACCCAGGACACTGGATCAGCAGCCATGTCTGACCTCTCCTATGTGTCCAAACAGAAGGCTTCTTAACTAGACTTACTTCCAGAGGTGACAGATCAGGAGACTTTGTAATTTGTTTCCTTTTGGGGTGGAGGTGTCAGACCCCTCTAAAGCATCAAACAGCAATTGATCAAAGAGAGTTATGGGGACCTGGAACATCTCAGGTTGTGCACCCCCTAGGAGTCCCCTGACTACTGCACTCTTCCATGCTCCAACGAGTTCTGAGACCCTGATGTCTCAAAGTCTAGTTTTTAGGATCTTATTGAGGCCTCCAGAAACATTATGGTTTATCCACCAGAGAAGACTGCTCAGACATGGTTTAAGCCCATAAAAAGTATTTATTACCCAGCCAGGGAGTACACTTGATGTTCAAGATCCCAGTCTAGCTCCAAGCCTTTTCCAGAGCTTCTAAACACACACACACACACACACACACACACACACACACACACACACAATGTCCTAGGTTGACATAGTTCAGTTAACTAGAACAGTTAGCCCGAAGCATAACCACAGAAGCCAAAAAGCAAGGGTAGTACATTTGGAGACTTTCCCAGACCTATGGACTTGGATAGATTAGGTCTTTGTTTTAGTTTTGATGATATTGTCAACATGCTAAGTTTTACAGCCTGAATACTATTTCCATCATGAAGTCCATTATGCTAAGGTCTCATTATAAGACCTATACCTCTATATCAGTGAAGAATTGAGAACATGTCAGGTGCAGGGCAGCATGAAACTGGCTGTGGCCATATATATATTCACCCTACTCATATAGCCTGCTCCACTAGGAGGGTGCCTCTCCTCCTGCATAACCGATTGCCAAGACATATCTCAAGACACTACTTCTATGGGAAGCAATGCTTAGCACCCAAGTTACACTCTTATACTACCTGTGAGACATTTGCCCTCTCCATCCCCTACTAGATTCTAGAAGCCAGGCACTCAGTCATTCTCTTGCCTATAGCCACACTTCAAGGCCCAACACACTCTA